ATTTCCATGAAAAAATACACGTATAAGCACTATAGAATGTTATGCATTTATTTAAATTTTGAATCGGTTATCGGATCATCATTTTTTATCACTTGAAGAATTTTTGTTTTCTAAATGTAACTAGAAAATTAAAAATCATTTTGAATAAGTCTTAAATATTTTTTAAAATTATAATAATTACTTAGACATATTTCAAGGTACCCGAATTTGATCACGATAAGTAAAAAAAAAAACAACACAATTAAGATTGAATAATAAATCTTTATTCAAAATATTGCTTCCTTGTTAAGGAAAACTATCTGATTATAAAATTATACGCTAGTGAAAGAATTGCTAAATTGAGACTTAAATATCACTGAAAGGTGGCGGAAAGGTCACTGAAAGATGACAGAAAGGTCACTGAAAGTCGACGGAATGGTCACTGAAAGACGACGGAAAGGTCACTGAAAGTTGATGGAAAAGCCACTGAAAGTTGACGGAAATGTGTCCGCTGAATGGTGACTGAAAGGTATCTGAAATGTGACTGAAAGGCAACTGAAAGGTCACTGAAATTTATGTGCCTTTCAGTGGCTGAATGGCCACTGAAGAGTTACTGGAAGCCGCCTTTCAGTTTTAACTGAAAGGTCTTGTTTCTTCCTGTGAGTGTTCTAATCTTATCATGTTTACATATATATGTTTGTATTTTTTTATTACCTATGAACTTAACGTTTTTTTTATTTTAATTGTCAATTTTTTGTACCTTGGTAAATAAGATATTTTTCCCGGTATGAATCAAATACTATTCCGAAACGATGAACTATTTTAAATATATTATATTTAGCGTATACGAAATTTGACGGAAATAAACTTTGAACAAGTAAGCGCAGATTTGATATAGCGCGTTTTTAAATGTTCTTTTTTATGCATATATGTGCAAGAGATTTATTGTCAAATGTAATGAATTTATGGTATATCTATTATTTTTGTCCTTAGTGCAAGCGAGCCATCGAGAGGATGAACTGATTTCAGATATGAGTAACATACTGTAGATTTCGAATTATATTCGAAAAATAAATTATATCATAATTTCGCCAAGAAACATAATTCTCAAAATAAAATTACCCGCTTAACTTTTTAACGTGCTGAAACTCATAATAATTCTCTTGATCAAACCTTGTTAATCTCGCGATTTGGCGTTCCCTAGCGATTTCACGATAAGTACTTGCGAAAATTAAGGAATCTACAGTTTCTGCATCATCAAGAACATACATGTATCTTATGGCATGCAATACTTGCAGTTACATTTCTCTAATGAAAATATGTTTTTTGTATTACATTTTTCATACTTTCTGAAGTTTACACGTCCTTTTGTTAGCTACATATTTTTTAAAAAATATTTTTTTATAGATTAGACGTTTACTGTGCTATAGGAAATTTATTGTCAATATTTGTTGTATTATGAAAATCAATATGCATTAATGTTTTACTGGATATGATGTTGTACTTTGCTTTGTATGTCAATTCTAATCAATCTATTGATAAATAAATACAGTTAACACTAAATCTGCCTTACTTTACATAAGAAAGGGTATTGGCTGTACCAAGATCTGAAAAATTCTTCTCTTAGGATCACTTAAACATACAGTGAACACGAAGAATTTACTACACACCAGCAACGTTGTTTTACGCCCAAAGTATGCAGGGTAAATTAAAGCTTTATTTCGTGAAAACAACAGCATATTGAATTAATTAAAGCACGAAACCTAAGTTCGGCTTTTTGGGAACGAATCCCTTGCATTAAATATTTTCAAATTTGGAAACTAAAACTCATTCACGTACGTGTACATCATCTGAAGTTAATTTACTGTATTGAAGCATGACAGAAGAAATTACTTTGCAGAAACAAATGTATATATGGGTATTTTCAAATGTCAAAAGTCTATGTAAAAGTTGAATAATGTTTTGTACACGAAAGCCTGAACTATCATATCTTATGTATAATAAATAACAAAGATGAACCAGTGGCCATGGAATGTTAAATATTTCCTCAGGTATTACAGCACTATATTGTTTTAAATAAAGATTAGTAGCTAAATAACCTGACCTGAAAACTCAAGTAACTTTTTCTGTCATTGACATATTGCATCTTGTCTGTCATTCGACTGTCCGTCCGTCTGTATTTTTTATAATATCATATTTCTTGTCAAGTACTACTGGATACAAAGGATTTTCCTCTTCTATCCCCCTGTTCATAGATATATACGACAAGGTGCGAAGTAATTATGATCAATGGTGCCTCCTTCAAATTTAGTCGCATGCTAGGCGCAGTGTTTGAAGCTTCCGCTCTAGAGTCGCGAAGTTAGGAGTTGATCTTTACGTTGCGGGTTTGAGTCCCATTGTGGGACGTGGAGACCGATCCTTCGGATGAGACCGTATAAACCGAGGTCCCATGTCGCAGTAGGTGTTTACACGAAAAAGATCCTTCCCTCCTCAATGATCTTTTGTGCCAAGTATAAGACAAAATTTGAAGCTCTCCACTGGCAAGTGGTGGCGCCTCAATATGAGTGAAAAATTCTGGAGAGGGACGTTTAACAATAAATATTTCCATTTCCAATTGTTTTCCCTATGATAAACACTACAAAAGTGAATCTTGTTTATTTCGCCGTGATTCCTGTGGCATGTAAATTTCTCTGTAGATTGAAATACTACTGAAAGGTCAAATGTCAAACTTGCATGTATATGATTGGCGTATAAATATATTGAAAAAACGATGTTTTGTTTAATTGTTTACTTAAGTAATTAGATTTGATGAATCTATTTACAAACAAAATAAATAATGAACTATCTTCGGATCAAAAGCAAGTCACTTGTGCAACGCTGTCCATTATCAACGAGGCCTCGCGAGACCGAGAACTTCACTTCCGTAAACATGTAAACAGCCCATCTGAAGCACATGGAGAAATCAGCATTGCCACGTAGATCACCCGATACAAACATCGTCCCTCAGTCATTACCATCCAACTTCTTATGCAATTCAATGTCCTCTGTTATTTTAACACACACAATTCTGTTGCCTTACCATGCTGACCAAATTCTGTTTCATCAACTGCAAAATTGCATTCAATATGGCGGCGGATCTAGGTCACATATATAATTCAATTTAGCAAGATTGCTTTGATCGTAATATAATTTTGTTTTGTTTATTTTATACATGTTGATTTTGACTGCAGTATAATTTAATAATCATTAAGATTGTTTCGTGTTTGTGGACTATTTTTTTATAAAATTTTTAATAAAAACTTTATAAAATTTGACGTCACATGTCGGCCAATGGAAAATAACATGGAATGTATTGCGTATTTCCAATCTACTAAATATTGGACGATTACAAAAACAAATAAAAATGAAAATATAAGGAATCACTGTCTAGTTTTGAGAGTTTGCCAGGGACATCAACAATAGTGGGAAACTTTTGATAATTTTAGCATAACGGGCTTCGCCCGTTATGCAAATTATCCCATGTTTCTCACTATTGTTGATGCCATGGCATACTCTCAAAACTAGACAGTGATTCCTTCAAAGACCAAAAAACCTTCAAATTTTTTACATTTGTAACCACAGAGTTAGAGGTTTTGGGGAAGAGAAGAGGGTCTATTTATTATATAGAGGTAGTGGATCATATCTGTGTTTACATGAAACTCTTATTCTCTGTTCCAAGGTATGTAGCAGATAAACCAAATACATGTATATACTTATGAAAAGCAATGAGTGTCTCTTCCAATAGTGTTCATACCTCGGCGCCTTGGTCATAGTTCCGTTAGGGGAGCCCCATTGATAATATTGTACACCTGCAATTTTTAAAATAAATTTCTCTCCCTCTGTGCTTAATTATGACCAAGTGTTTCTCTAGCAAAATTATGCAATTTGTATCCCAAGGTAAGAGGTTCAGTAGGGACGGGCTCTATTGAGTAAAAAGTAAAAATGTTGAAAAAAAAACTTTATTAAGAAAAAAACTTCTTTGGTGCTAGTTATCTAAGGAATGGATTAAATAGCCATCCGATTACTGTTACAGTATAACCTGGGAGGGGGTAGTGCACGTGTTCGCTTTACAAAGCATGGATTGGTTTATTAAAAGCGTAAACTTGATTTACCAGTATTACTTGACTTAATATTTAATTTATTCCTAATAATTCAATTTTTAATAATTAACTTTATAGAAAACAAGACAATTTCTTCCTTAAAAGGACTTCAATCATTCACCTATAAAACGTTACATTCATTACAAAGAATGAATGAATCTTTGTACAATAAATAATCAGTAAAAAAGGTCCGTGCAAGAGAGGAGTAGGGGACCTATCGACTAATATTCAACAGAACTAATTGTTTTGTTTGGTATATATGAAGATGGGAACAAATCGGGAAGAGTACAGGCAAATTAATAATATCAACTTATTCTTTAATTTTTATTTTGTACTTTTCAGATTAGGTTGTTAGGGTACGTTTTTCGAAGCAACGACCTTAACAATGGAATTATTAATAATTCTATTGATTTGTTTCATACATTAAATGGTGTTCTTTAAATCATTTGACGGTAACTGTATCATATACAATACATTTTGCTTCTTGTTTATGAATCATTTAAATCATGGAATCGATCTAATGATAAACCCCGCGCCAAATGTCTCAATACTGAGTAGTTTGGATATTCTAGTGGAAAATTCTAAAATGATTTTTTTAAAGAATTACTTGTTCGTGGTCATTTTGTACACTCTTGCTAATGCATCGCTAAAAAACGGTTACGATAATCTAAAGTGGGGTAAACGACTTATTGGGAAACTACTCACAACCATAGCACGGGTCAGTGTTCTTGATTGTGTAGAGGAATGCCTTACCCGCCCAGGATGTTGGTCATTCAACTATAAGCGGGCAGCTATATTTTGTGAACTGAACTACGATAGTGACAAAAGTTTAAATTTAAATCTCACAGACCAGGAGGGGTGGATATTTAGTCGAAGGGAAACATGGCCTTTGGTGAGTGTCCAAATAATGTTTCTGAACAAAATGAAAACAATTTTATCGGATTGGAAAAAAAAACTTGAATGTCACGTAATCTTGTTTGGATTAAGCATCAAGAATAAATAACACATAATTCAAATACATATGCGATATTTGTTAAGTTTAACAGCATAATGTTTGGTCAGGCCAAATAACTGAAGGAAAGTGCGAAAATGCAACTTTACAGCTCACTACATTTTCATATAGTTTAAGGAATGTTTGAGGTTTTCTTACATCAAAGTTTCTTGGGACATTTTCAAGAATGTATTTTTAACATATTTCACAATTAAAATTTCTAAATTAAATGTGCATTGACAGAAATATTTATAAACATCATTTTAGCTCTTCTGTGTAGGAGATTAAAAAAATGTCTCTGGTATGTATCTTTACTAAGAGGCAATCGGAAAACCAATCTTTCCCTTTATCTTATAATTTTGCGCTTTCATTTTGAATTTTTCAGGAGTTTTACTTCAAACACACATATTTAAATAAACATAAATTCTAAAGAAATTTCATATATTTGTTTTTGATTTTTTAATAGGAACTAACTGGACCTTGTCAAAATTCAAATTGTGAAGTGAATGAAAAGTGTAAAAGAGGATCGTTCAATTCCTATAAATGTGAAGTGGCTCGTATGTATTCCTTTAATATTAAAGATAAATGACTTTTTAGAAAACAAAATTTATCACTGAGTCAAATGATGTCTGCGATTTTCACACTAATTGTAAGCCTTTTTTACACTGAATTGACGATCGATTTTCCCGATATGTCCCTATCATGACACGGAGCACACAGCAGGTATGACTCATTGCCAGGGGATGCACACTCCTTCATGGCACCTGAACCCTCCTCTGATGTTATGGAGGTCGGTCTGTGTTTGAATTTATTGCCACTTTGTTTGGAAGTGAAGTGAAAGTTTCGTTATTTTGAAAGAAAAGTTGTTATGTTATACGAGTAATGCTATTAATAACTATTTATTAAAGTATTAAAGGATTTCAAATAATGGTTGTCAATGCACAGCAATGTTTTGAGTTTTAGAAATAGGTTTGCCAGTGAAATTAAAATGATTGCCAGGCTATGATGATTGAATGGTTGTATTTTGTTTAACGCAATGTCGGCAATATTTCAGCCATATTTTGGCGGAATGAAATATGATGTTAAAAATTCACCTTGATAAAAAATCTTTACTACTCATATGTAAAACAAAGTCAGTAAGCGACAACAATAGGCCAAAAATCAATTAGATTAGATACTTTAAAAAATGTAACATAAGGCAATAATGCAGAGCTGCAAATTTTCTAGCAGTTTCATGTTGAGCAATAAATATGTACATGACTCTTAACAATGGAACGAATTAAATGAGTCTCGGACACAGATTTATACCTTATTAAAGGGATTCTAGGATAGTATGTCTGATTATCGGATAAAAGAGGCGTTTGGAGAACCAACAGAAATGACTAAAAACCAAAGCTTCAGGATCTGAGCGTCAAATGTCGCAACCGCTGATTAACAATGCAAGCAGTTAGGCTTATGATAGGGATTGGGAAATCTTTAAAAAAATAATTTTGTGTTCTTTTGGAGGCCCTTATATTTTAGATGTACTTGAGATTTAGGATCTAAAAGACATTTAAATTCAAATGATTTTGTTAGAGTCACGATTCCTCACGGATTTACAAACACCACGATTTTTATTTTGATGTCATCAATGTTTCGTCGACAGCTGTTTTTTATTCGTAAACCTAATAGAAAACAAGATTTTAAAAGATATTTTATTATTTTTTATGAATTCCAAAAAATAGAATTAGTGTTTTTTTTTTTTTTAATTCTTAACATAACAGGTTTAGAGAAACAAAAAGATGTTAAAAATATTTCGTTTTTCTGGGTCAACCTTCGTACTTGAGTTCTTTTTAAACATTTTTAGTCTACGCGCTAACATACTTACATACATGATATAGTTAAATATATTTCTTATTTCAGACTGCCATCCTCTACAGTTACGTCTTGCACACAACATCAAACCATTTGAATCTGAAAAATCTGTTGATTTCGGCAGCAGCCACGTGATTAAATGTGTTGAAGGTTATAACAAAACAGGAGACGATGTCGTTAAATGTATGAGGAACGGTTTATGGAGTGAAGTCAACATTTATTGCCACAGTTAGTATCAAACTTATCAAAATACAATATATATAATACTTTGTTTGATAACATATTACTTCACCATATTTTTTAATTCTTATCATGCTTATTTCAATAAAAAAAAATAAAATCAAGGATTCTTGACACTTTAGACAACTGAATTCTCAACAAAAATTGAGCTGAGTATCGTTAATTCTTACAGTATTCTTTTGTTTGAATGGTTAGAAATTACTCTGTTCATATCAAACGGAGATACAGCAAATCACTAGAAACTCTCTAATCGAATTTAAAATCTGAATTGAAAACAATCATTTTTTAGTTTATTTATCCTATGTAAACAAAACCATGATACATGCGTTGTTTGTATAATAACGTATGGGAGCTCTTAAGTATTTGTAAACCAAAAAAAGTGGAAAATAGTATTTGAAAAATTTTAGCTGAAACCTTGTCTATGTCCCTTTGAAACTTACCTGTGTAGATATTATGAATATTCCCTTATCTATCAAAAAGTCACTCAAGATTTGTTTTTTTTTAACATGGATTATACACCCTATTTCAGTAGTACTTTTGTTTTATTCAAAATCCCCACACGCCCATGATCGGTCGTTTATCCGAGAAATCATGGACTTCGATGTTTGTTTTCTTTATAAGTAAATTATATTATAATTTATGTTTAAAATTTACTGTAAATCAATTCCAATACATAAAAGGAATAAATGATAATAATCAGAAAACATTCTGTTTACTTAGAATAAACGTAGTTTGAAAAAAAATTATAGTGTTGTGCATGAAGATTTGGGTTAATAAACATGGGGATGAAGGAGTTGCCTATCCCGTTATATTATAGTTTATAGGTCCCACAAAATATTGTTTTTTGTACAAGAATATAAAATAAACGCTGTTGAAAAGACAAAAGATATTGATTAGTATTTACATCAGAGAAAGGAATATTACTGCAGTCTTTCTGAAAATACTAAATAATTCAGTAAGTACTGGCTTTTTGTTCTTTATAAAAGACAAATGCGTAGCATTCATTCCTTTCAAGCATTGTTCTAATTGAAAACACATCAGCTATATATTCTATCCAACAGGTTTAAGTAATATTTTGAATCGATGCAATATATGGCGTACTTCATTTTATTGACATCAAATTCGAGAACCATTTTCTGTTGATTGTACAGTATTTGCTGTTTTCGAAATGTCATTAACAATCGGTAAAACCTATGCAATGAAATCCGATTTTATAAAAATAATCCTCGAAGAAACTTTATTCTAGTTCTATTTTTTTCTTGCATTTTTTTTTTCAATATTTGCTTCCATTTATGTGTCTTGCGGAAAAAAAACTACTAACGTCAGACTTGTCTTGCATATATATTGTGTTTTAAGAAATTTTCTCAATTTTGATGTAAACTTCATGTCCATTTTAGTAAATTCATCGTAAATTGTTGTAAAATCCTAAATGTTGCCTCATCTGGCAAAATTTTAGGAACGAGTTAAGTTCGAATTTAGAAAAAAGTTTAAATTTTAAGCAGAAAATGCAAACCATTTAAGATTTTTTCTAGTTTAATTTAGATGAATTAAACATTAACAGCTGTGTTTTTTAATGCTCATGCGTTAGTTCTAATTATTTAATTATTTTATACATTCCATTCAAAATCTGTTAATATTTGATTATCTTAAAAGAGAAAATTGATGATAAATAATTGTGCGAGAGGTACTGATATATTTTATGTTTATAGTTAGAAGTGTTTATATAAATTTCCAATTCAACATGTAACTATGTAAATATATAGTGTTTAGTAGTTAAACTATACTCTCTCTCTCTCTCTTGTAAACTGTGACATATTTAACTGTTTTTTTTTATATTTCATCACATGCTTTAAGTTAGAATTAAATCAGACAGACATGTAAACCATTTAAGATTTTTTCTAGTTTAATTTAGATGAATTAAACATTAACAGCTGTGTTTTTTAATGCTCATGCGTTAGTTCTCCATACATTCCATTCAAAATCTGTTAATATTTCTTATCTTAAAAGAGAAAATAATGATAATTGTGCGAGAGGTACTGATATATTTTATGTTTATAGTTAGAACTAGTTTGTAAACTGTGACATATGCTAACTGTTTTTTTTTATATTTCATCACATGCTTTAAGTTAGAATTAAATCAGACAGACATGTTTTTTTTTTATTTTGATATAATTATGCATTCACAATTACATATTAAAAAATTCAGGAAACAAGAAAAATGGTGGTGTAGTGTAGTTTGATGGCTTGGTTTGCTTACTTTCCATTTTTAAATCATAGATTCACTATGTCAATTAGTAAAACAATGGATGTTAGCAAATATTTTATTAACACGTACAGTCTGTAACAATCTCTGAAATACATCTTTCTCACTGACCGCTTGGATCGACAAGTATTGCACATTTTTTGGGTTGCTTAATCATTGGACGGACCTGAGGAAATGTTGAATGTTTCTTTCGACTTTGCATTTAAAAGTGTCATCGTATATATGTAGTTCATCAGAGACAGATAAAAAATAAGTAGGTTAAGTAGACGATTGAACCAATTAATTCATTAAAGGAATGTTTCAGGAAATGCCATGGTTTTATCATGGAATTTAAATTTATTAAAAGAGATACATGTGCAATGTACAGTGTATGCCTCTCTGATGCCCAAAATATAACGATCTGATATAGATCCTTTATAATTTCATATATTCAGAAAAATCAAATACACTCATATAATCCCAGGAAAACTCTGATTATTCCTCAAGAAAATATCACTACCCCAACTCTACAACATTTTACAACAAACAAACGACAATGACTTATGAATCGGTAATTTTTCTGCAGACTTTTATCTTATATAAATGCATTGTATTTTATTGTTCCCGTGTAAAATTCTCATATGATCAAATCTTTCAAAACAAAAACTCTCGACAATAAAACTTAATGTATACAGTTATCGGGTTTCCAACTGATATATAAATCGATCACCCAAAACAGACATTAATTTCCTTAACTCTTTTTTTCTAAATTTTGACGTAGAAAATCAAACAGACTGCCAAGATGTATTACAGGAGGGTTACACTAAGAGCAAGGTTTACACGATCTATCCGCAAGGAGGGGGTCAACTGGAGGTCTTCTGTGACCAACACACAGATGGTGGTGGTTGGACGGTCTGTTAACTTTATATTTCTATATTTGATTTGGTTCATGGCTAGTATAAGACTTTTTCATATTTTAAGGGTCGTAAGTTTTATCTCATTTAAGCTATAGGTTCAACTGAGCTTTTCTGTCCAATATCTGTTTGACTGTCTTTTGACTGTAATACAGTGTACATGTAGCTACTGTCGTCGTTGTTTGCAACGTATATATTTGTATACCTTTCCATTTTTATAGTCTTCCGAAATACTACAAACTTTGCTCTTTTTGATGTAGAAAGATAAATAAGGACATAATCACAAAACTGCAGAGCCATAAAAACTATTTTATATTCTGTACAATCATCCGAAGGTAATGCAGATTCAACTTTGTATAAGTCACAAACTTCTGTTGTTATAAAGTAGAGTCAAAAAAAAGAAAAACTTTTAGGAAAAGCTAGGTTCAGTTTATGCATAAAATGGCCCTGTACGTATATCAATAAATTAACTATCATTCTCTTTCCATGTCACATATCAAAATAAAGTAGAGACTTAGTGTTTGCATTTCCTATAATAAAATTTCTTTTAGAGAATACAGATATTGGAGAACAGGCTATGAGAAAATGCAATATAATGTTCTTGAAATTTGCAGAAAACATGCGTATTTGACTACCTTCAGCAAACAATTGAAATATGAGCATAGCCGACGATAAAAAAAAAATAAAACATGTTTTTTGATCTTCAGAAACAGATCTTTCATTATGTGTTTGATTATTTTGGATCAGAGGTTGTGCACTATATCAAATATTGAAAAAAAAGACTTCAATTTTAGGATATTTTCAAAGACATTTACAATATATGAAGAAAATTACGCATTTTATGACGTCATGATTACGTAATGATTAAAAGAGACGTGATCAACAACACTCAAAATGATAAATACTGCATTTGCAACCTTAATGAGCCAAAGTGGTTGTTGTTCTTTATATTTCAGAAACAACAAGGCCATTATAATTAATAACATTACAATTTGCAAACATATTCGTGTAGTTCCAGAGTTGGACATAAATATCTACTGATTCTGTTGGTAAAGATTATTATTCCTTTTTTTTCTTCTGCTTCCTAGATCGCAACTTTGAGGCCTCATACCTCACTCATTTCTTAACGGATTACGCTCAAATGTTCAGAGGTTATAGACGTTTAGTAACTCTATCAGAATGCTGACGAAAATTTCAAAAAGTCACTTCCGGTTTTGAGTTATTGCCCTTTAAACGAAAATTTATAGGCTATCGTTTCCAGACAAAGGCTCAGAGACAGCTAAAGCTGGAGCAGAAATTCTACTGATTTTAGATAATAGAAGGATTGAAGTTGTGCACATCGGTTTTGTTTTCCGATTTCTCTATTCAAAATGGCGCTATATAGGGGTCAAAAGTTAGAACGCTTAAAAAAACTAAAAATTACTAATATCTTGCTTTTTATTTTCTAAACTAAAAATATTTTGTTAAAATATATAGACATGATTTGTGCAGAATTAGAAGATCTTTCAAATGATATGTCGGAAAAAGGGCTGATCCCTAAATTAAGGTATCCAGAGGGACCAAAAGTTTTTTTTTTTTCCAAATATCTCAAAAAGTATTGAGAATTTGTTACACATCAAAGAAGCAAAGTTGTTGAAAATGTCAAGCATAATCTAATGGAGTCGTCAAAATACGTCCAGCGTCATCACTTCCGGCCAAACCGGAAGTATTTCGGAAACGCATATTTTTGCCGTTTTTGACAAGTTTTTGGATAAGATATGTCTCTGGGAGCTTTAAAATTTATTTTCCGTGCGTCGTAGTCACTTCCGGTCAAACCGGAAGTAGCAAAAAATGGCTTATTTTTGTATTAGTTAAAATAGCTTAAGAGGATTCAAAGCATTTTTGGGCGTTATTTCTCATTTTTGTTAAAAATGAAAGCTACTTCCGGTCAAACAGGACGGAAGACCTACTCACGAGCTTTGCTCTAGTTGTTTAAAATATTTTTGTTCTTTAAAATGAAAAATATAGCATTAAGAGAGATAAGTAGAAGATTTTTCAAAGAATAGAAACATACAATTCTAGATTTGGTAAGGTTTTGATACGTGTATGTCCTCGAATATCTTAATTTTGTTTCATTGTACCATAGATAGGATTGATTCTTTTTATTAAAAGTGTAGGTTTTCAAAAATTCCAGTAAACTCCGCCCATCTTGTTGGGACAAAATAAAACTTTGTAGAACCACATCTAAGAAAACTCGGATACCCTCCCCCAACACAAACACAAAAATATGTGCTAAAATAAAGTATATATTGTATTCTCTGTATATGTAAATGAGAAAATTTCTTTAATGTATCAAATTATTTTAAGTCGAATTTGTTTAAATAAAAAAAAAATTTACGTTTGAAATATAATATTAACACAAAAAAAATCTTGTTTGATGGAAATCAAGTACATTTTTTTAAAAACAAATGCAAGTCAATATTAATTCACACTACATCTATTGTGCTCAAATTAAAAAAAAAGTGAAATATTGTACAAGTTACACAAATTATTTAATTATCACATATAATTACATTCAAGAATTGTCATTATGACCACCTGTACCTGCACATAACCAACAAAAATTATAATATTCAAAAAGTAGGGAATACTGTAGTTTATTATCTAAATGTTCACATATACAAAGCCAAACGAAAGCATGTTGTATGGTTTCTTAATGAAGAATCATTTTCCAAAAAAATTCCTCACCCAAACACACGAATCACAGAGAGCACAAAATCAGCACGAGTCAAGACAAGGATGAAGAAAAACTATAAGGAAAAAGACAAAGCAGTCAAGAAAAGTGCAAGACAGGATGAAAAGAGATGGATGGCCGAAAAAGCTGAACGAACACAGTAACCAGCCAAGAATGGGAGGCAGAAGGAACTTAACAGCACAGTGAATCAGCTGACAAGAAAAAGTAATAAACAAACAGCAGCGGTGAAGAACAAAGATGGAGAGCTGCTGAAAAACAAAGAAGCGAGGCTTGCCAGATGGAGGGAATATTTTGAGGAAGTACTCAACAGAGACACTCTAGAGTCACCACCACAAAATGAACATGATGAGGGAGAAGAGCTAGATATCTCAGTATATCCATCTACCACGCAGGAAATAAGCACTGCACTGAAGACACTTCAGAATGGGAAGGCCCCTGGAGCAGATCAAATAACTGCAGAAATTTTAAAGGCAGACCTTGATAAGATCAGTCAGGAATTGAAGCACACCTCTGACAAGATTTTGAAGGAGGAATAGGTGCCCAAAGAATGGACCAGCGGCCTAATATGTAAAATTCCCAAGAGGGGCAACTTACAGGAGTTTAGCAACTAGAGGGGAGTCACATTGCCGGCCTTAGCCAGCAAAACACTCAGCAGGATCATCACTAACAGAGTGCAGGCTGGAGTTGACTACAAACTGAGGAAAGAGCAATCAGGGTTCAGGAAAGGGAGAGGGACTGTCAATCAGATCTTAATCCTTAGGAACATCTTAGAGCAAGTCTACGAGTGGAATGCTACACTATACATCCATTTTGTGGACTTTGAGAAAGCTTTTGACTCAGTGCACAAGGACAGCCTTTGGGTCATCATGAAGAAACATGGAGCCTTTGGTTCATCATGAAGAAATATGGAATACTCAGAAATCGGGTTATGATGGTCAAAGCCCTATACGACAATTTTCAGTGCCGTGTGATTGATAACAGCGGAACCACAGACCCTTTTCCTGTGATGACTGGTGTCAAACAAGGATGCTGCATGTCAGGCTTCTCGTTCCTCTGGCGATAAACTGGCTGATGCAACATACTGTCAGAGGAAAGAGAACAGGAATAAGATGGGACTTCACCACTATGCTTGAAGACCTCGACTTTGCAGACGACATTGCCCTATTGCCATCAGCAATGGACCATCTTCAGTCTAAGAATTCAAAAGTGGAAGAAAACTCCACAAAGTTGGGTTGAAGCTGTATGCCAAGAAGTGCAGTGTTGAAGATAAATAGCAAGAGTGAAAGCAGCCTGACAGCAGGAAACAGTGCAGCCGACGAGGTGGACAGCTTCACATACCTTGGTGCCAATGTACCAAGGATGGAGGGGAAACTGCTGACATCAGGAAGAGGATAGCACTGGCCGGTGCATCCCAGCTTGTCTGGCCAACTGAAACCCGCTACTGACTGTTTCACAATGTTGGTTGGTTTGCTTCGTTACCCCGTGTTGTTGGCGACCCTATTTCTTGATATTTTGTCCTTTTCTGACTGTATGTACACAGGAATCTTTTGACAAATGTTTCCGTTATGTTTTTCTGCTACATGTATTTGTTTCCTTCCTGACCTCATAATATGATTGTATTCTTCTTGTAAATTGAATATTCCCTACTTTTTTCAAATAGTCTATATTGGGTATCTACTATGTATTTAGCACTGCTGGTACGTTTTTCACACAAAGAAAAGATATTCAGTCTCTCTTTTTACTATGTTGTTTGATTTATGAAAATTATATATTTTTATGGCATCGAAATTGTGTGTGATAAATATACAAGGTGTTTTGAAGGTGGACTGAGGCAATAAAATTTGTACTATGAAATATCTGGGTATATGCTTCCAAGTTTTATCAGGAACATAAAAGAATAAAAGTTAAGAAATGTTTTAAGAAATATTCAAAATTTAAGCTTGATACATTTGTAATTTGCCAAGTTATTATGAAATAAAAACGACATCATATGATCACTGTTGCTGTTTAGTTTCATTACGTCCAACAGCGTCATTATTTTTCTTTGTCCACTCCCTCTATCGCATTCACTCATCATGATGTGTTTTTTTAGAGCTGGATAAGGATTTAACCTGTGTTGTTTATATGACTTTACAGTGTTATAATCAGCTGCTTTTAATATAAATAATATTGAAAATGGATCTATACACAGGAAAAGATCCTTTCCTGTTTATTCAAGCAAGTTTAGCTTGATGGAGTTCAATATCTAACACTCATGATAAACATTTTTTTAAGTAATTGACTTTTCGCATCTGGAGTACAAATTGACTTAAGTGTGCATATCTCATTTATTAACACCTCTTTTGGCATTTAACAACAAGTACACTGGATGCGTTGTTTTTCCTTGCGGCCATTTCAAACGTTCCCTACCTCTATACCAGTTTTTGTTTTCAAGGGAAAAACGTTATAGAATGTTTGAAATGAAATTACCCCCCCCCCCCCCGTTTTAACGTCATTAACAATTTGCACATTTTACTGAACTATTGTGTCTTATCACATACTTGCATCTTCCCTAGCCAAGGGTTTTCGGTCCGCACCGCTCCCCATAAACCCTTGGCCGTATGCACTGTAAAACGCCGGTCAATTTTCATTGGAGAGTTGTAGACGACCGTGGACCAATGAAAAAACTGTTTACAATTTACGGCTTTGAACTTTTGAGAAATTTTTGATGAAATTCTAACGCATAGTGTAAACCCGTTTCGTTCCTATGAACACGCCACGTCTGTCTTTTAAAACATATATCGTTTTATGTTGAAAAGCATGTAATTTTTGTATTCCAAATGTTGTTTCAATGGAGATCGCCATATTGTGTATGATTTTCTACCGAAACATACATAAAAGCTATCATTTCATTGGCTGTTGGCTGTTTGCTTTCAACCAGAATTATCGTTCTTTCTGACAAATTTACAGATGGCGCTATGTGTGACCGGCATATCAGCGTTTACAGTGCATATCGACCAAGGGTTAATGGGGAGCAATGCGGACCGAAAACCCTTGGTAAGCGAAGATGCATGCTTGAAATAATCCGACTTAACTCAATATGAGTTAAGTCCCGTTATGGAGACAAATAGAGATATAAAGACCAGGAAAGATAACTCTCACTTAAATGCACTGACTTCATTTAGCCACATCCATTACGCAAGTGCATTTGCTCTTCCTTTCCATCATCCGTCATCCATTGAATCTCATTATTGATTGTATTGATGATTGATTTGTCCATTTTATCAGTAAAGCCATGACAAAAACTGCCAAATATTCTTAATATATTTTGTCGACATAACGGGATTTTAACGACGAATGCTCAAATCAATACAGTTTTCTCAGTTATACTCGGGTAAAAAAAATCGTTTTCCATGTTCCGCTGTCTGGACAAACCACTGCTCACAAAACTATTTTTAAAAAAAATTAAACTTATGATTTGTGGTTTATTCAATATATAGAAAAAATATGCTATTTTTCTCCTATTCGTTGATGTACCTTAAACAGTTTTAATTTTATGGCGCTAAACCACGAACTTTTTGATAACCTATCGTACACATATTAATCTGCAATATTAAAGGTAATACAGCGACGGATGGATGGGACGATTGACTTTTTCCGGAATTGGGAGGACTACAAGGACGGTTTTGGTAACAAGTCAGGGGAATATTGGCTGGGTATGTAATTAGTGCTTTTTTAATTAAAAGTGTCTCTACAGTAAAGGTAACATTTTTTCTTTTAAATGAATGAGAATGAATAAACTTTTCGCTTTTAAGTACTAATTAAGGAGAAGAAATTATGAATAATCATATTTTCCCTTCAAAATAAAGCCCTCATTTCTAGCTTCTTGCACAAATTGTAAAAATGATTTGCCTTAACTTAAAAAAGTAAAACCTTTCATAATTAAAAATTCATTTTGAAAATGCACCCCTTTTTCAGGAAACCACAATATTCATAAAGTTGTTAACCAAGGATATTATGAACTGCGGATAGAGATGTCTGATTTTAATAATGAAAAAAAATATGCTCTGTACAGAAGATTTTCCATCGGTGATGAAGCCCATGGATATAATCTTCATGTTGGAGACTACGAAGGGACTGCAGGTAAAATGGAAAGCGTTTCCGAATTAATACTTTATGGGTGATTTTTAAAGTTGAAAATTGACAAAATTACTGCACTTCAACTTTTATATTTCATGTTTAAAATATTAAGCACTGTAATCGCATGAAAAAATAAAATTACAGATGTGTAAGAGACGATAAGTGGAAAACTGAGTAATATACAGATGCAATTGTTTAACAATATAAACTACACATGCTATAAATTCTTCAAAAAAAAAGTCATAAAAACAGAAGTCATCTAGGGATTATTATTAGATATAAAAATGGCTTTCAGATAGTTTTCTTTTTTAACTTGTTGTTTAACGCCCTTCTCGAGAATTTTCATTCATATAGAGACACCACCCTTTGCATTTGGAGAGCTACACATGTTGTTCTATACTCGGCACTCAGGACCAGTGAGCAGTGAAGGATCTTTTTCGTGCCAGTGGGACCGCGGTTTTTACAGTCTTATTTAAAGGAACTGTTTTCGCGTCCCAGACTGCGATTCGAACTCAATATTAAAGGAAGAACTCTTTACTCTGTTCTCTAAAGCAGGAGCTCTTTCCACTGCGCCAAGCAAAAGACTCTCCTAGTGGTTGCTGAGAAGATTTTTAAATTACTCATTTCCGTGCTTTGCCTTTGAATGTTTTGTGCAATTGTTGATGAAATTATCTCTATAAAGGTAGTTGAGAATGAGTAATGTGAACAAAAAGGCAAAGACAAGTGGAGAAATTGAGATAAGATTATTCAATTAAACTTCCAGCTCAGAAAGCCTAAGTGTTGAGAAATCTATGAAAAAAAAAAACTTGACATTTTGTTCCTTTACTACATCTATATTTTATATATAAAGTACAACATTATCGTTGAAAAATTTCATAGGTGACTCGTTGATGAATCATCATAATGGAGCACGATTCTACACAAAGGACCATGACACGTCAGGTCACTGTGCGCAAACATTTAAAGGTGGTTGGTGGTATAACCATTGCCATTATTCCAATCTGAACGGGATGTACCTAAGAGGAAACCACGTGTCATACGCTGACGGGATCAACTGGAGGACTTGGCATGGATATCACTACTCACTGAAGACCACAGAAATGAAAATAAAACGACTTTAAAATAAAACAGTTCTATTTTAATTTTTAAAAAGAATGTTAAGTAATGAGATTTACAATTTATCAACAGAAATGTATATTTTTTTTTCACAGTCAAACGGTCTATTAAAGAAATTTTAATGACTGGAAAATGTTTTTTTTTTACTGTTTTTTCGCAAATAAAATTTAGAAGTACACACACTGTTTACTACACAGAGCTGAAAACTGTTTCAAAATTATTTCTGCCAAGAAAATGGAATTGGGGTTGTATTCATTACTAAGGAACAACCAAATAAAAGATGATTGATTGATTGTATATTGTTTAACGTCCCTCTTGAGAATTTTTCACTCATATGGAGACGTCACCGTATGCCGGTGAAGGGTTTCAAATTTAGACCTATACTCGGCACTCAGGGCCTTGAGCAGTGAGGGTTCTTTAACGTGCCAGCGCCTACCGTGACACGGGACCTACGTTTTTAAGGTCATATCCGAAAGACCAGTGATTTTCACTTCTGATGCCGAGCGCTTGGCGAAGGATCAGTCACTACCTATTTTTACGTCTAAGGTTTGACGCGGCGCCGGGAACGAGAATCGAACCGGGACCTCCCGATCACGAAGCGAACGCTCTACCACTAGGCTACCGTGAAAGGTACCAAATAAAAGATAAATATGGTCTAAATGTATTTAAAGGCGAGCAATTTTGTAAATCGAACTGTACAGTTTGCAAATGGAGTAAGAAATTCAAAACTCAAGAATAGAGTTAAACTTTTCTAGTCGTTAAAGTTTTGGAGACTGCTTTTGACATTATGATATCTGATTTAAAAAATTACATTGCTAATTCACTAAACAGTTGATTGCCATAACAGTATATAGAGTTTTGACTAAGTAAATGAAACTGAAAAATATATCAATGAGATTAATACCTAGTTTGGTTTTAAGGTGCCTACGAAATAACCGTACAGTTAAATATGTCCGAAGGCTCTTATTACAGTGGATAATTAAGCTAAATTGAAGAAGATTGTAGTGAAAAATTGGTGATGAATAACAATACATTTTACTTTTTATACTCCATAGGAAAGATCAATCATAAATTGTAAATTAGATATGGTCTTATTTTTGCAAAGAGAAACAAAGGCTTTAAACATATTTTAAGAGGTTTCTTTTTACTAAGTTTACGCAAACTTCCAAAGGAACGACCATAAATGTAACTTTTATCCAGGCAAGACAGGTTTATCAGGTTTCCTGTAATTTTCTAACTGATATGCTACTTCAAAAAGCATACTAGATAAATGAAAGTTTTGAGAATTTAAGGTTTACAAAGAATAGCCTTTCCTACATGTAGCATTCGCTAGATCTAAATTATTGTTAGATTTTTTTTTTTTTGAAAACGCCATAAAATTACTAATGCAGAGTTCAAAATTTTCGGAATGTCAGGGAGTAAACTATCAATTACTGTCTTTTAAGTACTGGATCCCTTATGATAAGTATGTATTGGTGATGTAGTCATGAGTACACATAGTAAGTTATAAAACATTTTAGTAAATTATTCATTTATATTTTGTTTTTTCTGTTTTTCGTAATATATTTAAAAATAAAGGATGATTCCATATATTCTGACTAATATGTTTTATATTTTGATAGTTTTAGAGAAAAAAATCTTCTGGAGACATTTTGGTAACTTAAATTTCTACGGTGGCATATAATTGCAATCCACATAACTTTTTGTCAACATCACATATCATGTCAAATGAAGATAACTATCAAGTCATGATAACTTTCTTGTTTGTTGACAAACATCGACTTTATATATTGTCTAGTCAAGATTCGCATTTGTTGCAATTATAGCTAAATTTATATGATGAGATAACTTATCTTGCTTCACGAATAAAATAGATATAGCAAAAATGCAATTGTTTGTCTTGACTGGTCAAAATATAAAGTCGATGTTTGTCAACAAAGAAGAAAGTTATCATGACTTTACGAAATTGTTATCTTGGCCTGGCATGCATTGTTAAAAGAAAGTTATGTGGAAGGCACAAATATGCCACCATACATCCCAGCTGTAAAATTATAACATTTGAACTACAATTCTTTAATTTCTCGTCATAATTTCAGAATTCTCCCCCACTTCATCAACGTTTAACTACTGGTAAATTCAAACAAAATATAAAATAAAAACATCGTTTAAAGTTATCATTTTGCAATTGCAAGTTCTCAGCAAAAAGAACTACATGTATAACTAGATGAGATCTCGTTGCGAGCAACGAGTGGGTCTTCCGTAGGAATCTTGATGAGAAGAGATGAGAATTTGATTGAGATTTTTTTACAATGATAATATTGTCAAGAAAAACGAATTTGCTGCCATTATGTTAAAAAAAAGTTCATAAAAATCCATGGAATCGTTATTGATATAGCCATGTAGAATAAAAAACGTCAACAGTATGATATATACATTTTTGTTTCAATAATGTATCACAAAATATTGATTGTTTTAGAGTAATAATGCAAATTGTTTTGGACCCTTTTTATCCCTAATTTGATGAGTCAGCACTTTTTAATTGATATCATTTGAAGGATCCTGTCATTTTGCACAAATATTGTTCAGCATGTTTTGACAAAATGACTACTTTTTAAGATATGATAAAAAATGTCTCGAAATTTCACTCCTGATTCGTTTCCTAAATTTCAACCCCTAGACCGTTTCCATACTACACATTTTTGGAAAATTTGAAAACCCAGGTGCATCATGGGAACATGTCTTCTATAATCCCTGAAAATTTAAGCTTTCTACCTCAAGTCGTTTTTGAGTTCCATTACAGACAAGGAGGTCCTCAAAATTTCGATCAAATGGCAATACCTTGCACCGGATGTTAATTTTTCAAAATGGAATTGTCGGTAAAAACTTCAGTTGAAACACATAAAATTTGAGTCGAATCGATCAAGCTATCTCCGAGAAATCCTCTGCACAAAATCGGTAAGAAAAAAATAGTAAGAAAGGTGAAAAACAAACAAAACAGTATAACACGGAAGAAGACGAAAGACCCTAATTACGTTGAGTGATGATTGATGTTTTTATATTGATTATGAAGCCATAAGCTGAAATAGATTTTCCCTATATCTCCCCTTTATTTCTCGATCATGACAAGATGTACATAACCGGTCGGCAAGTAATACTTTATCATGAAACTGAGCTGATCCCAAATCTTAAGAGTTCCGTGTTTGCTCTGCTAAGGTATCAAAAATTGTATACCTCAGATGAAGAAGTTTCAAAATACATGAAGAAAATGTTTGTTTGATACATGAGCCATCTTGCGGTACTTTACTGAGGTTTATTCATGTATTCATCCATTGATAACCACGTACGTCATCAAACATAAACAGAAAAAAAAATAAAATTCAAATGATAAAAGGAAATTTTCGGATATCTCCGTTCTGTGAAATCACTTATTTTCAGAGAAGGGAGGAGGTAATTTACGTTGTTTATGAGGAATGGAGAGACCCACAAATTCATAACCATCGCGAAATGTAAAATTGATTATGTATTACTACATGTACTCAACATTTCTCCAGCCACGAAATGGAATCCCCACATATAAATAATTAATTCTCAAACCTTGACAATTTTCCCCGAAGAAAATATGTGAGTTGACAGTGTTTCACAATATTTGTCTAGATACACTGTTCTTCTCATTTTATCTCACAGAAAAGTAATCTCTATCTGTTCTGGTATGTTCCAGTTTATGGAAGAGCCAATGTATAACAGCTTCTTTACAAAGTGACCGTGATATTTTATTTTCGCTTATTACGTTGCATGTCCACGGCGTTCAACGTTTGTGATGTCTAAAAAAGTGTAATCTTTCACCTTTTCACCCCTTGTACATGTTATGTAGTTTTGAATTCCCTAAATTTCCCCCATAGCTCAGATGCAAAACAAATGTGTATAAATAAAAATATGGATAAAATACATATTAAAAGGGTGCTTAATATCGGTGATCAGCGCATGACAATTTTTTATAGCATAATTAAGTTTTAATCCTTATAACAAGGCATCACAGACAATAATATGGCAAATAAACGAGTCGACTTATGGGCCCCGGTAAAATGTGAAAAAATGAACATTCAAATTAAGCAAAATTTTTCATCCCAAATCATTAACTGATCTTTAAACCGTAAGATTCAAAATTTTTTTCCGCTGAAATTCACTAATATACAAAGAACAAAACCATAGAATGTGGCAGGGGTCAGCCGACATTTGTGATTTTCTATAGTAAATCGAAAACGGTCATTCATTTCAAAACTTTTGTTTACTATGAGCCTAACTTTGTACAAACCTGTGCAAATGATAAAAGATGCATAATACATTTTTTATACTCACGTGAGGTCTACCTATGTAAACATTCCTCAAAGGTGCTCACAGTAAAAAAATTGGCATATTTTTTATCATTTAGTAAAAGTCACGCCGCTTAGAAATATTTGGATGTATTTATATTCAAGAATACGTTAGGGTAAATAGAGTTTAGTGCCATACATAAAAGTGTCAGACATTTTTAACATTTATGTTAGACAATGAAACAGGTATTGAAAGCCACCTAAACACTCCATTTTGATTTCAAATTCAGTGGAACTCTTATTGTGTATATTTTTTTCAAATGCAAGAGTACTTCTCCGGATTTTTAGGGGTCCATAGGCATTTAAAAATAGTTAATTGTTTCCAATCCATGCTGATTTAGGTGATCGTGCTTTTTAATCAGAAATATCCACTAGTATCTAACTATTTCCAAAAGAGAACGATTTGGTAATATATTCTTAAGTAAAATGGCACATAAAAAGGGCCAATTAAGTATTGCTTAAGTGCACTTGTCCTTCACTATCATAATTATTCTGAAGCACTTTTGTAAAACAAATATTGAATTTTACAATAAACATGAAAAAACAGGGTGTTATAAGCAAAACATCTTCAATCAAATCATTAATTTCAATATTAATTTGGTGACATCGAGTGATAATTAATGCAGATCGAATACCAAATAATAAAGAAGTTC